CTTCACAAGGTGAAGTGCTCCACCTGCATGAGAAAAGCAGTTCTTTCCTCTTCGGAAAAATTTATTTCTATATGCAATATAAGGACTTTTTGTTTGTTTGTTTGTTTTCCTAAGAATTAGTTGCTAATGAACTGCTGCTTCAGTGGCAGTGTGCAGACCCAACCCTTGCGTTAACATGGTTGAGTTTTTTGAAGGGCTGTTCTAAGACATTAAGATCTGGGTACTGAAAGTCAGTCCATGTGCATGGGGTTTGTGTTGTTTGGGGTTTTTTATTGACTGGCAGCAGAAAGTCAGTCTATGTTTGGGGGGGAGGTATTTTTTATTGTTAGCTGGAGCAAAGATGCGTCAGTGACGGGTCATGCAGGTCCCTGCTGACTGCGCCTCAGTCCTGCTGGGGGCATGCTGAGGTCGCTGCTGTTCAGTCAGTTGACCATCATGAGGATGCAGAATCAGCCTGGGTTTGGGCTGTTTTCTGTTCTACTGTGAATGCACTGCAATGCAGAGTCCTGCGCTCTCAGTGCTGCAACTGTAGCACTCCTGAGAGTAAAAATGTGTCTTTAAAGACTGCAGGAATAGCGACTTTACAAAGGAAGCAGCTTTGTTGGGGTTTTTTGTTTGGTTTGGGTTGTTTTTTTCCCTGAAATAATAAGGATAGGTTCCTAAAAATTATATTTCTAGGTGGAACAGATGTTGTACATTGTGCTGGTAAGCTACTGGAGCTGCCTAATGCTGCTTACTGGAAAAAAAAAACAAAAACCAACCCCAAACCCAACAAAGTTCTAAACAAAAACCCTAATTTCCTTTTGTCTGTAAAATCAATTTCCTTTTCTGTATTTACTCAACTCAAACCAGATGTGTTTTCATAACATAAATGGTTTGTTATTGTATTTGGTGCACACGTAACGTGCTGCTGGTGCTCGCCCCGTCATGTTCTGTTCCTGCATGTGCAATGTGGAAGGACATCTTCTCAGATTGGTTCTCTCATAAAGCAGAGGAGATGAAGACAACTTGGGAGTGTATATCACTACCATGAGATGGAGCAGGTGATATTTTTGTTAGGGTTCAGTGTTCCATGTAAGGATTGGATATTACAAAGGTGTTGATTTCTGTAGTGATGGTTGTGTCCACCTAGCCTGGGGATGCTTGTCCTCAGAATCTTTGGTATGTTAAAATCCCTTTGAATGCTTTCAGAACAGCTGTGGATGCATATGCAAAGCCTAACCACTTGCCTGCAGTCAGTAAATGTGATTAGTTTGATTTCTCTGAGGCTTGAAGTTCTTTTGTAAGATCTTTTGTTGAAACTACAAAAGTTAAGCTCCTAACACAGATCTGTAAGCTCAGTGGTATAAACAAATGCCTAGCAAAATTGAAGAAACCTGTAGCCACTGATACTGGGATGTATCTGCTTATCTCAGGGGAAAACTTAAAAATTACAAATGTCTGGTGAAGAAGCATAAAAGATTTTTTTTTTCCTTCAGAAAAAATAGCTAATATTATACAAAAAGACTGAGATTTTGCTACCAGTATAATGCCTTGTATGAAACTGTGAAGTGTACGGCTTCTGTAGAGGAATACATCCTACTAAGAAGAGGAGGGACACAACACACCAAACAGTGAAACAGTAAAATTGTGAAACCATTTAGATCCAATGCTATGGATGAATGAAGGGGTAGGGCTGGTTCCTCCTTTACAGAACTAAGAAAAAAACCCAACCAACTATTTTTGTGGCTATAAGAGGAAACTAAAAAATATTAAGAACATTTCCATTTCCGGCAGATTTTAAATTGTGTGGGTCAGGGTGAATCATCATTTGACAGAGACCAGTTTGACTGTAATGTTGCAGGTGGGTGTTGTGTTAAAGATGCTAGGGAGCTGCAGCAGCGCTGTGTGGTAGTGATAATACAGCAGCTGGGCATTCGGTGGAAAACAACACAAACAGCACTTGAATACTGCATGTCTTCACTGCAGAGAAGCAGTTGCACAATGCATATTGTTTTGCTCAGTTAAATCCTGTAGAAGCTGTAAGAAAGCTGGCATAAATAGACAACATGGGTCATAGTCATCGCTGCGCAAGGAAGTACAGGGACTTCAGAACTTCAAACTGGTCATCATTCAGAAAACAACATGGAACCAGTTAAAATGTTGTAACTCCTCTACATCTCTCTTCTGAGAAAAATGAAGAAGCTTAAGTTATTTAATATTTGACAAAAGTTAGAAGTGATTTCAGTTACATCCATTAACTGCTGTAGAGTTTTACAACAGGCTTATGAACAACTTTGCAATAATTGAATAGACAGAGAAGTAAAATCCTTCTTCCAAGGATTATGTAAAATGAGTCATCATTGTACCAGGCATAGATTAAAATCTCTTTACGTAAAAGGGTGTTACTGCAGGACTGTACATGGAACAACTGTGAGAGATTAAGATGGGCTGGTAATTAAAAAATATGAAATGTACGTAGATTAAGGGGAAAAAATCCAACCAACCAAAAAAAAACCCACAAACCACAACCCAAAGCCAAAATGTGTGGGAGAAAATAGCACCTAGATTAAATTTAACATCCAGGGAGACAAAAAGGAGAAGTTCCTAAACTTTGTAATGCTTTGTGCTACCAGCTGAGGATGTGAGGCACTCGGGCAATGTGTCTGATGTTCCTCACAGAGAAGGGGCTATATGACAGACCCAGTTCTAAAAGGGACTTGTTCTCAGCTTGCCAGGTCATCATTCATTACCTGCTATTGCCCTGGGATCACAGCCATTCCCTAAGACTAAAACATGTTGACCTCCTGAGTGGGATACAGAGCATTTGGTCCAAGACTGAGCTGTGTACAAACCACCAGAAAATACACCGAGATTTGTTTTGGTGCATCAGATTAATGCCTAAAATATATGGTCTGGTTCTTATTTTCACGGTGCTCAAAGCACCAAACCCCACTTAAATAGCTTTCTGTCCTTGCAGCAGGCCGAAGAAACTGTGCCAAAATGATCTTGGTGAGCCAGTCTGAGTCTTTGCTGGGAATAACACCCAGTGGAAGCTGCTATGTCTGGTGCTGCTGTGTGCAAGTGTGCTTGGACTGCCAGCTGGTGCCGGCTTTCTCTTCTTGGAAAGAAGCCTTCAGCTGAGGCACCGGGAAGGTGGCTCCCAGGAAACTGTAGCCACGTGTGCTCAAGTAAGGGATGTGAAAGCCATGTGAGTACAAGCACCAGCTGGCGTTTTCTGCAGTGACCGAGGACAGTCACTCACATGTACAGACAGAGGTTTTAAAGAATGCAGTGCTTGTTGCAACAAAGCCCTTTGTATTTAGCTGCTCTTCAGGGACCTGAACGGACACATTAAGAGGCATCCATCTCTTGGTGCAGTAGACTGCCTTTCTGATAGCCTTAAAATAATACTTAAGACCAGACAAAAATCGTTCAGTACAAGTGGTGTAGGTGTTAATGTTTATTTCAAGGCAGGTATTCCTGTAGGTGGTGATAAACACAGTTCCCATTCAAAGGAAATGAGGTTTTATTAAAAAGCAGGAAAGTCCATGTTGTTCCCTCTAGTTGCTTACTGATTTACTCTTACTAATGCAAAAGAAATTAAAACACTGAAACATCACCAGAAATAAAAATTAGGAAGATTAAATAATATAATCCAGAGAGAAAATTTTTGGTAATATAAACTGAATGATGTTACAAACTCAAAACCAGCAACTTGTTACTGCAGCAGATATATTGCATTACATCAAGTGATGCTAGCTATGAAATAACTAACGTTCTGAATTTAAAATGCACTATCTTCATTGCATAGCTCCTCCCTATAAAGACAAAGGTAGAAATTCCTGATTATTTTTTTCTGTTGCTTCTTTAAAATTCAGTCCATATTCTACAAAATAAAGTGAAATAGTTGATGTTCAGAACTAGCTGTATTAAATAGCTGCAAGCTGATACTTGGAAAAAGGCATGGGATGCTAGCTCTACAAAACTCCTATTTATTGCATTTATCGAACTTCTAATGGAGCTGTTCAGCTGACTGTATTTCACATACATGTAGCTTAGCACAGGGGACAGTTTATAACTACAGAGTTCCTTGGTAGAGGAACAGAGAATTTGGTAAGAGAGAATTTACTCGAGTAAAATTTGACATGTAACTGCTGGATGATGTGTTCAGTCTCCCTGTAGTGTATCTGTATATAGACATATTAACTATTACATACTTTTTATACATAGATTGCTTTATCTGTAAGGAGTATTGAAAAATGGATTCTTGGCAGTCATGCTACACTGGAATCACAGCCTGAACTTTCAGGCTGATATTAGGATATTTCTACACTAAAACTACCCTCTGCAAGGTTATGTGGAGTGTTTGTGTGTGTTTGTCCCTATGGCGTGGATCAGACCAGGATAATTTCCATGGAAACATTACCATTAGTATCTTGCACGTCATTAATAGTTTGGCAGAAATTGGAAAATAGAATGAGGATATCTGCAAGAGAGTGTATGTGTCTTTAAGCTGAAAGAGGAGACATTTAGATTCAATATAAGGAAGAAGTTCTTCCCTGTGAGGGTGGCGAGACACTGTCACAGGTTGCCCAGAGAAGCTGTGGCTGCCCCATCCCTGGCAGCGTTCAAGGCCAGGTTGGACGGGACTTGGAGCAACCTGGTCTAGTGGAAGGTGTCCCTGCCCATGACAGGGGGTTGGAACTGAATGAACTTTAAGGTCCCTTCCAACCCAAACCATCCTGTGGTGTTAGAGAATATTTACCTTTGTCTAAAGACAAGAAAACAGTTCATGTTTATAGTTTTCTGCCCCAGGGTTGGGAAGTCAGATTTTCCCTGGAATTCCACTTGCAAACTTTTACTTGCGTGATAAAATTTAATCATCTGATAGATTCTGTTGTCTTCAGTTATTTCAAACATGCGTGTTCACTTCATATTTTGTGAGCCTTGACTGCTCGCCCTCCTTTATGCCGGTGAATGGAAAGAGAAGACAATTATCTCTCTAATTTGATTCATAGAAACTGTGAGTGAAGTCTTGGATGTTTCAGCTTCTTCTGCCCATGAGGAAAACTTAGACAGTGTCAAGGAAGGAGTAGCCTCAGCAGCTCAAGAGATTTCTGACACATCCTCCAAGAGCCAGGATGCTGATGCTGAGGAGTCGGGGCAGACTTCAGAAGGTGCAAGAGTACAGATGGGTCTGAAATATTTTGTCTCTGAAAGCACTAATGGCTGTTTGCACTGAACTAGATGCAAGTGCATGTGTAGCTCAGGAGTGGCTGCTTGTGGTGACTGTGTTCAGCACTGTAGTCATAGCAGAAAGCTGAATTTTGACATTATATGCCATGCAGTAGAAATATATATTGTGTATGTGTATTGCCACAGTGTTTTGAGCTCAGTGTCCTGCTAAGTGGCTAGATGTAAAGTTCAAGAACAAGAAATTCTCCCTTGTGCTGGACGGGATGTAACATACTATTTTGAAGTCTGACTTAATTTGAAAGATGGAACTTTCTTAAATTACATTGCTGTAAAGAAAAATATAGAGCATTCGATATTTATAAACATTGCAGTGTTTCAATGCAGCTGTAAACACTCCTGTATTGCTATTGAAGTTGAACAATGTAACTGAATGCAAAAGAAAATGCGTGTTAAAATCCTCACTGGGGAGATTTTCAAAGGAGTTTAGAAATTTGGCCTCTAAACTCTTTTACGATTAGAATTTAAAAGCTAAAAGGAGAAATATTTGTATACCTAGTATGGCTTTGTAAATTGTATCCTTTTAGGCCAAAGGATAATTTAGACTGCAGGGAAAGAACTTGACTATTTGTCATCAAATAAGTGGATTCCAACATTTCTCATTGGTGTTTTGTCTCCCTTTTCAGTTTCTGTGGAGGAGAAGACACCTGAAGAAGTTGCTAAGGAACCCTAAAGGTACAGAGTACAATTGCAGCATGTGGTTTCCTGCTCCTCACCTTTCTTTTTTTCTCAGATAGTGGCGATTGCAGCATGTGGTAAGTCTGCACATGCACTCTGATGGTGAATTTGAATTTCTATCCCCAACGAGTACACTGCAAAAAAAGAACTGAAGTATTTCTTATTGCCTGGGAACCATTGCTGGCATCTCAGAAGCTAGGGAGCAAAACTTTTCTACATCACACTGGGTGTCTACTTACGGCTTTATCTTAGGCCCTTGCAAACTTGATAAAGACCCAAAAGCTGTACCTTTCCTCCAGGCAAAAAGTATTCTTTAGACATTAGTTTAAATTATGTAGATATTGGACTTCCGGGTAATTGGCCTATACAAGTGAACTCTTGCTATCCTCAGTGTAAACATGGTGAAGTTGTAACCTTCCAGACTCACTTCTTTAAAAACAATTTTTCACAATTAGTCTCTTGGCACTTTTAGTTTGTGCTAATGAAAAATATTGACTATAATATTCTTACTAGTTTACTAGTATCTTGCTCAGTTGGCTTTATTAACTTACAGAATAAGATACTTTCCCCCCAATATTCTTACTATTTTGCTATTCCCTGTGACTCCCGTTTCCAAAAGTGGACTGTAAGATGGTGATAGAAACCTGAGGAAATAAAAAGTTTGGCTGAAATATGAACAGGAATCTTGGTAAAAAAGATATTAACTAAAATAGAAACAACTGAAAGCTGAGCAAATAGACCTCCCAGGCCAGGAATTCTCAAAATTAATTGTGCTGCTGGTTAGCAAGTCATGCAGTAATTCTTGGAGTACAGTGCAGGAGGAGAAGGAAACAGCAAAGAAAGTGATTTTTCACTGCAGTCTCAAAACGTATCCTCTAAATCCACTTATGGAAACGTATCATTATGTTCTGAGTCCTTTGCAAATGCGTGTTTGCTTATTCCATCATCCACTGCAATATAAAACAAGGTAATGCCTTTTATCCGCTTGTGATGAAAGGTAAATATTCTTAAACTTCCTAGTCTTTTTCCATGTTGTTTTAGCATTTAAAACTAAGAAAAAAACCCTGAAATCACAAAGGGGAACAGATATTTAATGAATGTAGGTGAGATGTGCAGAAAAGTTGCAAGTGTGGGTCTCAGAGCTGTTGTTTTTGCTGAAAGTAAAAGCTAAGGGCACCTGAGGATATTGCATCAGAAAAATAAATTACCAAGAAATTTTGTCCACTCTGGGACACATAAATGCAGTGACGCAGGGAAAGCAATAGAGTTAGGAATCTTTTTTTCCTTCTGTAAACATCTTGCAACCCTGTAAATTATTGCATTGTTATTCCAGAATTTGATTTAGACAACAAATACCCAATATAGCTAATTTGACTAATGAAGGCAGAGACGGTAACTGAAAGGGGCAGGAGTGGGAGGGAAGGGAAGCTGTAGGAAGCAATTTTGATAAAACAAATTGAAAATAGTTGAAAAGTAGATAAATCTGCTACCATAATACAGGTCCACTGAATGCTGCTCAAACTGCTTGGGCTCTTTTTGATTAAAAAAAATTATTTTTTAGGACAACAGCATCACAAGGTTACAAAACGAATTTTGTTCTGAGGTCCGCTTTGACCTTGTTGGGAGAAAAACAGTGTATAAAACAGTTTACTACTTAGGGCTAGAAGTAGGCTGACTGACTTTTTCCAGTTAATAGGTTAAGAGCTACAATGCATTCCCAATCAGGAAAAGCATATTTATTCATTTATTTTGTGTATGCAAAAGGATAGAATAGTAGTAATAGGTAAAATCTTCACATAAAGCCTTGAACTGATGCTGTGTAAGAACATACTATTATTCCGCTTTCTTTTCTGAGTACAGCAACTCTACAGTGTGTGGCTCTTGGCCTCAGATTCACACTGGTACGAAGCTACTTATATCAGTAATCTCAGCAAACGCGATTGGTTTACCTTGTCCTTCAAGTTAAGCAAGCAGCTATTTGTAGAAGTAAGGTTTAGTGGAATATATCCAGCATGCAGAGGAATTCAGTTATACCTGAGCAACATGGCTGAAGATGAGGGATTTGTTGAAATTGGCCTTTGCTGGTGGTAGCAGAGCAAGTTTTCACAAGCCATCAGATAAACATGATTTACACAGCAGTGGTGTTTATATGCTGTAATTCACTGATAACCTGCAGCCAAATTCACAATGTGTTTAAATGTTTGCAAAGAAAAAGACCTGCTGAATCAAGTCTGTTGCTAAACATTGGTTATTGTTGCTTCCTCTAAATCAGATTCTTTCTTCTTTTTCTCAGTAAGCAGTGCTGAAGCCTTTGAAAAGATTTAACGGAAATATTTGTGCAATCAACCAGCTGATTCCTGTGTGAAATCCCATACTCTTCCTTGGAGACAAAAGAATTTGTGCAGTTTCTCATACCACGTGCTGCTCATTAGGACCAGTATTCAGTGCTGCAACAGACAACCTAATACGATTTAAGTTGGTTAGAGAGATGCTTCTGTGATTAACATCTCTGCTTTAAAGTAGCATCCAGTAATAACTTCCAAAGCACAGCCCAGCATGTAACAAATACACGTGCTAAGAGAAGCAGTAGAATTAATTGAAACCATGTCAGGTGAACTCATTCTAGGTCTGTGTTGTCTTGTTACGTACATTAATGTCTTACTTTTGGTCCAAACTGTGGTGCATAGTTATACCATTTTAACATTCCATGCTAAAATGTAAGTAAAAGGTTTTAACTAATTTAAAAGCTTATAAAAAATACTTATTTTTTTTTAAATTGGGTCATGGTGAAAATAATAACCTTTCTTTCTCCCAAGTTAGGATTTGCAATTGTAAGCACAGGACATTTGGCTGTATACGGTCTGATTTTCCCCTTATGTAAACATTTTAGATACTACTCTTCCTTGTACAATAGTATCCAGGAGTAAACATTTTTAAGGCTCCTCCTTTGAGAACAAAACCTGTTTACAAGTAGTAGCAACAGGTACTTTATAGCATGAAAATTCAAAATAGCCATGTTTGAAGTTACTGTCATTGGTTGAAGTGGTGGCTCCAACCTTGGGTGAGCTGGGCCTTGTTCCTACCAAACCTTGCTGTAGTCTTTCTGTGTTGTTATGTCTTAACAGTGGCGTAACAACATGGAGGTTTTCAGAGAACACTTGTACAAATCACAAGCAATTCAGGCTATGGTAAAGCTCCTCTCTGAGTGCTGGCAGATGGCCAGCAAAATCCCTGTGGAAGGTTATGTCACATGTGTTCAAATGGACAAGGACTCTTAGGGACTAAGAACAAACAGAATAGATATATAATCTTGTTAGTATTATCTTAATAATGAAAAATTCTGTAACGAATTATGGGTTTGTATGACACTGTTCTTCTCAACCTCCATTGTGCTTTGTGCATGTGCATGAGTGTGCATCTACTACAGAATCTTTACTGAGACCCATTCCAGCCTTCAGAATGGCAATCATTCTAAACTGGGATCAAATTAAGGTATATTAGACACACTTTACGTAGAAAGTGTGAATTACAAGCAGAACTTTGGAAAGATGTTGAAAGGGAAATTGCAGCATTTTGACATTCCTGCCCATGGCACAAAGCAACACATGCTCCTGCCATCATGAAGCAAATTATAATAAAGTTCCAACAAAAATACAGCCTATTGCCACTGTATCTGCTTAGGAATAACTGGAATAACGCAGAGGCAAAATCAGGCTCCTGAGCTTCAAGAAGCCATTCCACAGCCTTCTGCTTAAAGGATAAACCCACTGTGATTAAAAGCAATCTTTGTCAAAGCTACTGGAATAAAAGCCTTGGACTGATATTTTGTTGGATGAGAGTCTATCTTTATTTATCTTGTAGATTAAGCATCCTGTGATGGATGCATACTCTTAAATGTTCTATTTCTTCATTTTACTAATTCCTTGTGAAATAAGCTGTTTCTAATTTCTGCAGCTGGCAGTAGGATTTCTGAAATTGTTGGCTTTGCTGAATGTCACTTTATCTCTGGAACTGCTCTGGTATGTGGCAAAACGTATCAGCCTTGGAAGAGAGGTGTTTGAAGAACTGAAGCACAACCTATGGTGTGTTTTCCAGAGCTTTTCACCCTTTCAAGTTCAAAAATGTAAATCCTAGATTAACAACAGAGAGCTTTTGCAATCTGCAGAGGGCTGCTCTGAAAAATAGCCACTAACCGCATGCAGGATGCCTTGTTGCTTCACCAGAAATTCTTTGTCTGACTGGTTTAGGTGGTCCTTGATCACTTTCAGCAGTTATGCTAGTATGGACTCTAATTACCACACAGAGTAATATTTTTCTGTGCCCCACCTCCAGAAAACTGAATTTTTGACTTGCTACCCAAAGGCTGTGATGAACTGTAGAAAATGGTGCTTTGGCTCACTAAGGAGAACACAACCACAGCAGAGAGCAGACCTAATGCAGGACTACAGGAGATGGGCCAAAAGGTTTGTTCTTGACAAAACATTTCAAAGCTCAGAGTAAAACTTGAGATTCCTGAATTTGTACAAACTGGAAATTGCTCCTTTGTGGTCAGCAAGTATCTATGAGACCCATTAGCAAAGCATTTCACCTCCCTCTAGTGCTAGTTCATGTGAAGGATATCAGCCTGCAAGCTGCTAGCAGCAGTTCATTTTGCTGAAATGCTGAAGACAGATGGAGTCCATCTAGCAATTTCAGTTTTACTCTTTGCCTCGTTGATGTCAATATAGAATTTAATTTTTATTTTAATTTCCTTTTTCAAAAGACAATTGCTTAAAAAGATCATTTCAAACTGCAAGTTGGTACCCAAAATTTGGGGAATCTGAGAAATACTTCAACCAAGATTTCTTGTCCCTGTGCAGCAAGCTTTGATGATGTGATGTTATTTTTTATCTGTATTTCTGAGGAATAAAAAAAAACACAGAACCCCACACAATTCCAATGAACCCAAACCACGCCAAGAACTGAGGCTGTGCTGTTTTCCCACCTGTTGGTCTTTCTCCTTTCCTCTCTCTCCCTCAAAAATTTTGACCCAACTAGCCAACCTCAACTTCTGTTTTAAGAGAGAGATGTGAAGGGGACAAAGTTCCTACCATCTGTGTGATGACTGAGGAGATCAGTGACTTATTTGTTGTTTGCCAGCAGATGAGCAAGTGCATGTATATAGAATCAGAGAATGGTTTGGGTTGGAAGGGATCTTAAAGCTCATTCAGTTCCGTCCCCCTGGCATGGGCAGGGACACCTTCCACTAGACCAGGTTGCTCCAAGCTCCATCCAACCTGGCCTTGAACACTGCCAGGGATGGGACAGCCACAGCTTCTCTGGGCAACCTGTGCCAGTGTCTCGCCACCCTCACAGGGAAGAATTTCTTCCTAATATCTAATCTAAACCTACCCTCTTTCAGTTTAAAGCCATTCCCCCTTGTCCTGTCACATGCGTGGTGCAGCTGAGTAGCACTTTGGTGTCCATAATCAGCTGCTGCCAGGTTAGGGGGTGAAAAACTAAGCCAGCAGAGCATTGCAAGAGGATAGCTCAGAGGGCATGAGGTGTGTATGGGACAGGGGAAGATAAGGAGGGACAGAAAATGTTCTGTGTGAAAAGACACAAAAGCTATTGTAGCTTGATTTGCTGTCCATGGATTAGCTCATTTCTGCAGAGTGCTGTCCCCCTTATCACACAGACAATTCTGCTCTTGAAAAAGGTATTTCTTGGTTGTATGCTTTGCTCTTGCTCTGCTTATCTGCTGCACAAGTTGGAAGATGTGCAGGATGATGTAAATAAAGCTCACTCTAGAGCAACAGGCATTGGACATCATTGTAACTGGATTCTCCTGTATTCTGGTCTTTGCTCCTTTGGGATGCTGCAGGAGAACATCAGCGTCACTAGAATGGGAAGCAGGGCTAAAACTGGAGGTTTCTGTGCTGGAGTTTTTCCTGCCATTTGCTTGAATTACAGGTTGTTGAAACAGCATGATTTGCTTAGTGGTTTAGCTATCTACAAATGTTCTTCACTTCATCTGTGCATTTTACCAAACTCAAGTGATGGCTTTAGTAAGCTCTAAAGGGCTGTTTGCGACTGATATTCAAAAGCTCCTGACAGCAAATGGGAAGCTTCTGTGAAACAGAAGTATCTTCTTCATGTGGTCTGTTAATTATTTGTATCGGCTTCACATGGAGATCCAGTGCCTCTTAACTACATAAAAATCTTGTATGTTCAGTGATAAATAACTTTCCTTATTTTAAACCTTCATGACATAGTGATCTTTCAAGAGATACATGCATGAGCTCTGCTTGTGCCCTAGGAAAATGTTGTACATTGCTATAGTTGCCATGCCTCATCTCGGGAAGTTTTGCTGCCTGTGCTCTTAGTTCAGCATTGACTGCAGTATGTAAGCTAATTAAGTTAAAGGGGAAAACAGAGAATAAGTGGAAGAGGAGAGACAGCAATATGTATCAACATCATATTTCCTCTTTCTCTCTCTGTAATTAAATTACTGATGTGTGTGGAGACTCATGGACTGCCTTCCCATAATGTGATTTTATTTTTCACTCCCCAGCTTATTTCTTCCTGCATAAGGCTATTTTCTTTCTCAGTAGTTATTGGGAGATGTTATTTCCCAGCGAGGGGTAACAGAGACTAATTAACCACTGGTCAACATGCACTCTCATTATCAAGCAGAAGAGGGCGCTAAATCAAAAGCAGCCTGATGACAAAAACCCAGAACAGAAGAAGGATCCCCTATCCTCAAAACAAACCTGGAGCTGAACAATACAGGAAGAAATGAATAATGTATGCTTTTTCTGTGGACAAAATTGACTTGATTTTTTCTTTTTTCTTTTTTTTTTTAAGTTTAATTGTGGTTTGGAGAAAGTCCAAATCATGCAGATCCTTTTAATTCCACTGTTGTAGTAAGTGACTAATTTCCAATGCAAAGTATTTGGTGCTGAGGCTATTATAATATGAGAGGAGCCAGACCTGGAGTAACTGTGCAAGCTTAATGGCTCTTGCAAATGAAAACAGAATAAGGCTGGGTGTGAATGTCTTTGTTTTCATTTAATTGATTAATGAAGTTCCATAAAATCAAAATCACTGCAGCCTTGACCCTTCTAACTTATTACAAGTATCAGCAGTAGAAGGAGGTAACACAAAGTATTCAGTCCTGGTTATGAACAAAGACAGAAGGACTCTGAAGTGTTTGAAGTTGTTAAAATAAACCTTAGTGGTTTGATTTCCACACCCTGTCCATTTGCTTTCAGCACGTACCTTTGCAGAACCTTGTCTTCTATGCCAGTTCTGAGATCCTCACTTGGGCACTGTCCCCATGAGAATGTTTACTGTTGGCAGAGCTTGGATGTTACTAAGTGAAAAGTAGCTTCCAATGCTGAAATATTTTGCTATGAAAAGATAAATCTACCTTTGAGGTAATTCTTTTTTCAATTTTTCTTTAAAGCAAAACAGTTAAAAAGAAACTAGATGGTCTCTGTAAGAAACTTCACGCAAACCATGTTTCTAAAGGGTTTTTCTGTATCAGAAGGGTTCCTTGTGAGCATTCTGTTTTCTGCTGTGTCTAAACTAAGAAAATCAACATGTCATGTATATACCATGTATGTATTTTTTTTTGAGAGAAAATGAGGTAAAGTCCTCTTTCACACTTATCCTAACTTTGATTCTTTCTTCTAAAATATTGCAATTGCTGTATCTTAAAGTATATCTAGCATACAGCAACAAAGTGCTATGGACTTTCCTCCTTTATATCTATGCAATTCCTTCTTTCTTAAAAGCAACACATATTTATTCAAGGGTAAAATCCTGCCTGAAATGGGCTTGTTTCAGCACTGCACTGCTCCCCTGCTTTAATTGCACAACCCCCATGTAATTAGCGGCGTTACAGCCCCTGCAGTGCTGAGGATCAGAAGCTTCTTGTGCTTTCCTACTTGACAAGCAAAGCAGTGTTGTAGTTTTAAGGAAGGGAGGGGGTGTGTTTGTTTTTTTTTGGTGGAGGTTTTTTTTTATTTTATTCTAAATTTTAGGCCATTAAGGGGAAACTATAAAGGAGATAGAATGAATTCAGAGATTAGGATTAGATGTGCAATTTAAAGGATTTTGCTGTATAACATAAGATGTTTTAGTAGCCTAAAGCATGAAGAAAATCAAGGGGTAGATAGGAAGTTTAAGCTTGAGTTAAGCTGACACTAGCCATGTGTCTTTACAGCACAGAAAATTTGCTTTTTTTTTGGGCAATAAGGAGTCTGAAATTTCGTCTTAAAGCTGTCAGATCTGGAATTCTTCACAGATGGAACCTTTATTTATCTGGTATTTATCCTTGGCAATAGAAACATGCAAATCATCAGATCTATAGACCTCAAATTAGGTCCCATATCCCTGCAAAAATAACTCCAAAAGCTGGTGAGCCATGCTTGTGTATGCCAAGTTAACCTGATCACCAGTCTGGGTGAGGTGTGCTCCTCCCTGCTCCACAGGCAGGAATGGCTTCAGGAGATGGAATGCCCGCCCCTGCAAAGTGTGAGTACCAAT